ATATATATATATAGGCAGTTGAAAAGCTGGAGCACTGCGCTAACAATCCGTAGTCCCTAATCTGTAATAATCTGCATTTCCTATTCAGTTATTCCGATGATATGATGGACAATGCTTTGGGATAAAAGAGACTCATGGGACAAGTAGTATAGTGATTTACCAAAGATTACCTTCACACAATAAATTGTGTGAATGTTCACTTTAATTATCCCATCGTTTTAAACGCCAGTTCCTGTTTACTTATTTCACCTGCACTTTTTTGGAAAATTGAAGTAAATATATTCGCGCAATTTATCGTGTGAAGATTCACAACTCCTTTGGTAAATCAGCCTCTTTGTGTTTCCTATATAGCAATTATCATGACACTGTATTTAGTACTCCAAAATGCGCCAGAGAAATGGCAGCAGCGATCTGATTGGATGCCGTGGGCATTACAAATACCTTTCTGCTGTTTTTATAAAGTATCCAGAATGTCTTGTAAACATGCAAGAGTGCCCAGTGATTCAGAGAAGCAGAAACCCCACAAGAAACATGTACTGAGATTATTATGGTTGGCCTCTGCTCCTTAAAATGCTAGTTGCCTGGTTGTCATGCAAAATGAGGGACTTTATTACTTGTTGTCCCCCCACCCCCTCAATTATATAGCTGCTGTCCCTATCTGTTTGGCATGTGCTCCTTAAAAAGCTAAGCGCCCGACTAGCTGTCATGCCAAATGAGAGTCTTTATTATTTGATGCCCTCCCCCCAAATAATATGGCTGCTGTTCCTGTGTTCCTGGTATGTTCTCCTTAAAATGATGCTAGTTGCCTGGCTGTCATGCCAAATGAGTGACTTTATTATTTGATGCCCCTTCCCCAAATAAAGCAGGCCAGGAATTCTGACTTTGCTTTGACTTGACAACCTGCATGCCAGTTCCAGGTCAGCGACTCAGTAAATACTGTAAAAACTAGAGCCACCCAAGCAACTAGCATTGCCAGAAAGAGATAAGCCCCCCATATATCTCTCTCACTATGGTTTCCCTTTTACAGTCAGAGAAGGACTGGTATGACACCATGCTTCATTTTGGAGCCTGGAATATAAATAGACTGGAGTTGTGTGTATGTGTTCACATTCTCTGCCACTATGTAGCGATTTCTTTGTGGCTCACCTCCATAGAATGAGAAGGGCCCATTGGGGATGAGCTCCCCAGGCTCCAAGCGGTCCACCAGCGGTCTCATTCTCCTTGGACTCCTGAAGAAGGCGTGCCTGCGGGCTCCCAAGGCGCTCAGCTGCTTCATCCGCCTCTCCTTGGAGCGCCGGTTCTGGAACCACACCTGGATCAATGACAGCAACACAGCCAGATGAGAAAGTGACATGAGAACATGCAGCACAACAGTCTTGATGAGCAGATTATTACAGTACATTACTACACAAAGACACGTCTTGGCTACATAAACCGCCATCTGTTACACAGAAGTAGCTGTTTAATTGCTTGCTGACCCTAGTTGTATTGTTCTCTACAACAATATGGGTCAGCTTCCGCTTGCTGCAGAATTCCTCATTTTACAGGAAAGCATATCTTGGCAGATTTGCCAAGGAAGCTCTGTTTTCTTGTCCAATGCCTGATGTTTTATTACGGGCTCAATATTTCGGTAAACACGACAGCCTGAATGACACAACGCATATCTATATATTTGCTACATAAGCATGAATGATGCTATTATTTGTTCTAACATCATTTACATGATAAAAGCTGTATGGGGCTGATCAGAAGTCGGGAATTTGGAGTTCAGGCAGAGAATTTTGATTTACATACCATTTACATATCATTAATGTTAGGGGTCACAGTGCTTATATAATCATTAATTGCAATTTTATATATTTTTTATTTTATTTTACCGTTACTGTCTTAAGCACATTTAGCAAATCTGCCCTTCAGTGTTTCCCAGGCATGTCATCACCTGTTCCCATTACTGGGGCCTTGCCATATGACACTAAGCCAGTGACTACAGAGAGCCACATGGAATCTATCCACATAAGATCAGGGTTTGTCTGACAGCCTGGTGAATTCTGGCAAGTGGTCAGATGTTTGACACAAACCATGCTACCAGATTACACTACATGCAAAAATAATGCCTAGCAGTGACTGTGGATAATGTGCCTAGATGGTTCTATGGTTGAATTGCTGTAGATCCAGCTGGCAGGTCAGTGGATCCCCATTAGTTATATTAACCTAAAGGCAAATTAAACTGAAACCAGAGCCCTTCTAACAAAGAGTGCTTGTTATAAATAGAACATAAAGAATGACATAAAAGTAGCTGCTTAAATCAATAAAGAGTGTACCAATATGCCTTTTAAGCTGGCTTTGGTTTCCCATTGGATTTTCACTGGCCTGGGGTACAATTTATGCACTCTAGCAGATACCCTATAGACTGTGATCGTTACACAAAGTGCACTGACCCCTAGCTGCCAATCCGAAATAATATCTGGATAGAACTCTCTACATTTAACTGGAATCTCATTGGCTGTATTTTACATCCTCCTTTTTCTTTTTCCCTTCAAAAAGCCCCTTTATTCTAATTTCTTTGTTGGACAAGTTTGGCTTACATATCATAGAGGCCCAGTAACATCATACTATTTTAAAGTCTATGCTGGCATAATTCATAAACATTGTTTTCAGAATTGTCAAGGACAGAACAAAAACAGAAGCCACCATCACTCAAAAATGTAAAATACTCCTGTGCTATATACAAAATTGAGGATGATGATGCTGCGTGTGTCTTAAAGTTTAATATACTAAACAGCAAGCATTTTACAACATGCAGCATTCAAAGACCAAGTCCTAGTTAGAGAACAAATTGCTAGGAAAATAATTAATTCCATCATGTATCTTACTCGGAGAAGGGGGTCTATAATAACACTGAGCCTAGGAAACAATGAGATGAAACCCAAAGCAAAAATTCACAGCCCACTTTTACACTTTTAGATGCCCTCACACTAGTTAAGGTTTAAAATGAACCCATCATGTAATTGTTTGGATCTAGCAATCCCCAGAGTTACAGAATACAATGCACATGTATCAGCAAGTTATTCACTGTATTAGTGCATTGGGTTTTATTGATGTGTTGTTAGGCAAAAATGCTGAAGCCATTCATGATGGGGTAAATGTACCTAGAATAGGCCAAAGATTTGTGTACCAAAACTTTATAAAACATGCAAAATAGGAGAGTGATGGACCACATATGACTGCTGGCTTGCTGGACAGTACAAGCTGCCATTCATCAGGATTGCAAGGTGGACACAGTTTTGAAAGCCAGGCAATAGTATACTATAGTGCCTAAAGGGCCCCTTTATTAGGTCACATTTCTAATTCCATGTGTAACTTTAATTTCATGTGTACACCTCCACCTCAAAGGGTTTCTGTAATATTATTCCAGCAAATGTACTGGAGCAAAGAAAACTGCAACACAAATGGATCTATTGTCCAGTGGAACCAATTAGTTACCTTGCTTCAGACCTTGTAATCTATGTAAGTTTCCTACTTGTGTTAGAAATATTAATTTTGGCCATGTTGTAACTGGGAATGGATCATCGGCATATAGGTATTTGGTGCCTAGGTGATCAAGTGTACATCTTCCACCTGCTTGTACAGATCTCCACTGCTCTTAGACTTTGCCTATCATATTTCCATTATCTAGTGGCATTACCCCACATGTAAGGCTTGTATGTTTGGTAACACTGCAACCAAGGCAGTTGTGAATATTAATGCACCCAACTCTCTAATATGTATTACTTATTCTTTAGTTGTGGCATATATTTACAATCATGCACACCTGGTTATGGAAAGGATACTTCATACAGCATAGGTAACCAGAACCTCTGCCATGCCAACCACAATCTAGGTGTCTTGAATGAGTTCCACACTGCGCATGCGCACACTGTCCTGTTCTATACACCAGAACAAATACTGCATATCTCTCCTGTCATCTCGCTGAGCGAATGCAGGATGAAAAATATGTTCCACTATTGTTTTCAACCACAAATCCAGATACCATATAACTGCAACATTTCTGTAGTCTGCGCGGTCAAAAGTGACTAACAACTTATTTTGTACTTTTAATTTATATATTTCCTTGTACTATTTTAACATCCACGCTTGGCTTCATAAATCTACCTCGCCTGTTGCATATATTCAATCCTGTTGCTAATGAAATCACTAATAACACTGGAGATCATTTACTAAGGGGTTGTTAAGCTACCTGTATTGGAGGCTTGTGTGTGCTGGGCGTACAGTATAAAAACCCCACCTGTGAATCAGTATATTGCTACAAAAGTAAAAACTGCTTTAAATATTTAAACTAATCACATATATATATAGGTTATAGTACCACACAAGTACGTCGCTGTCTTAGAGCTTGATTTACTAAGCCAGTTGAGTATGTCCACACACAAAGTGATTCACTTCAATTATCCACTCCTGTGAAAAGCAAATTATTTTTTTCTTAATCTGCATATATAACTGTAGTAAATCTGAATTTTTTTGTGTGTGAACATTCTCAATTCCTTTAGAATATAAACCTCTAATAAAACAGCAAAACAAACGCAAGAACCACGCTTTCCATTGATGATTGTGAACTAGTTTGTCTCTAGAGATGGGGTGATTTTACTTCACCTTGTCTCCTACTAACTGTTATCGCAACATGCGAATATTGTGCGATATTTTGATACGGCGATGCGCAGATATAACAGCTTCCAATACTGCTCTGTCACTCATTAACTGGGATTCACCCTGGGGAAAGGGGGGGGGGGTGCACGGTGACCTGGTTGAACTCCTTGGTCTGGGAAGATTATTTCACTCAAGTGGAACCTAAGAAAGCCTTATAACATTTACAGTTACTGCTTTGCCTTCTGATTTTCTGTCCCTTTTTTTTTTTACAATTGATATTGAATAACATATTTGAAGGTATTTAGCTTTCCCCTTGCTTGGCTTTCCCGCTTTAGGTCAAGAATGATTGAGTTAATTCTTATTACCCTGACAAGATTACTCCTAATTATCCTCGCACTAAGGTTCTTCCAATCTAACCTCGCCTTAATGATCTTTTAACCCTCCATTACCCCCAGCTCTGCGGGTTTATAAACCTTTTAATAATCCCAACTCATTGTCATTCTTATTTTTCCATTAACCCCTCACATTTATGGTTATTAATTTCTAGTCCATTTGCAAGTTGATACCCCTATTCAATCCGTTAAGGCCAATAAATGATGAGAGAGGAGGTGCATACTGAAAAAGAGTATGGATTCCCTTTTCTGAATTTGAGTTATATGTTATTAGAAGCGGCACTGGCCAACGAGAGTCCTGCCATGACCCTTTATTTTTTAATTATTATTATTTTCTGTTGGGGGGGCTTCTGGGAAATATTAGGGGTCTAAACAGACCCCTGACATTTCCCTCTTGAAATAGAAAAAGACATTGAGGACACAGAGTCCTCAGTGTCTTTTTCTGCGGCCTCAGCACTCAGTACAGAGGCTTCCCATTCATTCACAAACTGCTGATAGTAAGATATGCTTCTCCCCATTGAGAAATTCATGAATGAACAGGAAGTGATGTAAATCACCTCCTGTTCATTCATAACTGGGGACACATGGTACTATGTGTCCCCAGTTATTTACAAACACTGGAGTGATCAGACG